CCCCCAAGCCGTTCATTTCTTCTGCCTCTTTTGTGGAGGTGGAAAAGGGTTGGACCAAGTGCAGGCCAGCTGTTTGGTCCCGCGCCGAGGAGCACGCTGCTGCTGTTGGTGCTGAGGCGGAGGTCGGGAGTGTGGCGCTGACGCCGCTGCCGTAGCAGGAGACGAGCAGAGCGCCATTGCTGCTGGTGCGCGCCGAGTCTGCTGTCTCTGAGCCCGGCGATCCCACCCAGAACCGGATGAAAAAACCTGCCGACGAGTTGGTCGTGAGCGCAACTGCTGCCGGAACTGCTCCTGCACGGTCTGCGTCATGTTGAGATGTTCCAACAGGCGCTGGTACTGGGGGCTGAAGAGCCCATCTGGGATGATGGGACCCTCCAGCATCTGCTTCCGCATCTCTGCCGAGATGGTAGGGGCAAGATGCAGCCACATCTGCGTCTGCAGCAGATTCATCCATGCCATGATGCAGGACGCTCACATGGCCTGAGTGGCGCAGAGGTTCAAAATTGTGTCGGCCACCGCGCAGAGCTCCACCTTCTCCTCCTGCCGTGCCTCGCTCTCTACAGCTCTCTTCAAAATGTTGAAGGCCAGAAGAGCGATGTTGTTTGTTGCGGCCGCAGACTGTGCCACACACTGGTGGGACAGGTCAGTCCAGTTGACGAGCTGCTGGTCTACTGAGTTGTGAGGGAAGGGTCGCTGTCTGGCAGACCATACCGCCTCGACGCCGAAGACCGTGGAAAGCGCAGGTTCCAGTCCTGGAACTGGCGGGAAACCAGAGTAGGTCATCCCCTCCACCTTTGTCACGTCCGTGTAGGACGAGACCGGTGCTTTCAGCTTGGTGGGGTCACTGTTGGCAGATGCTAGGTAAGACTGGACCACGGGGAACCGCGGCCAAATCGCAACCCAGCGTCCAGCAAGAGGTGAAGCAAACTGTCCCGCCAGCTCATCCAGTGGGGGCACCAGAACCTCAGGAACCGCTAGTCCCCTAGCATCCGCTGCCCGCTGAATGATGTCCGAGAGGGCACTCACAAGGGCCCCGATGGACGGTAGTGGGGTGGAAGAGGAGCGAGGAAGACCCAGCTCCCTGGGTTCTTCCTCCCCTCAGAGGTCCGAATCCAGCCCTCCCGCCTGGGATGGGTGAACCGGGCTGCCACTGTTGCCTTCGTCCTCTGAAGCGGGGTCATCCGACTCCTGTCCAAAGTCTATGAGTTGGTCAAGCGGGACGGGGTCATGAAGCTCGAACCCCTCATCCTGGTCAGCAAAGAAGTCAACCTGCCACTGCCTCTCCTCCACCGACAGCTTCCTGCATGCCAGGCCTCCGCCGTCAGAGCCTGGTTGGCGTGGTTGGCGTCAAGGCAACCCTCACGCACCACATGCAGGTCAGTGGATAGCATATCCAGTGCCGCAGGCAGGGCAAATCTTCGTCTGGCCGGGCATCTCTTCGAAGTTTAGATTGGTGTAGAATATTGGTCTCGAAGCTGAAGAAAAAGAGAGAGCAGAACATCGGTCCAGCCGGCTTTTATGTGGATCAAGGTGGGGCCACATGGTACGTGGGCGTAGACTACTGGTTCTTCAGAATGCGCACGGGAGCGAGGGATACCCATCAGCGACAGTCTTAGAGGGCAGAGCTTACACAAAATAGAACTATCATGACTCACCAGAAAGTCCGCTGTATGTTAAAAGTCCTGGAATTGTTTTTCCTCTGGTAAAAATAGTCCACAAACGATCAACATTGTTTCTTCCTCGTCGCAAATGGTTATTTACTCGTCTCTCTGGAGGTCACGTGAGATATTTCCTCTGACATCTGAATTCTCGCGTGATTTAATATCTGACATCTGAATGTTCATGAATGAAATATCTGTTCGTATGTGGTGTGTTGTCTCTTGCCGTGTGGCTGTACACCACACACTGTAGGACCAAACCTGGTATATCCATGATTTTTTTTTGTTTTGTTTATCTTCACGTCTCTCAGTCTTTGAAAATTTGTTTTAAAATCTTGTTGTGTACCACAGCCTTGAGCAGGCAACGAGAGCATTTAGCATACATTTCTTAGCTTTTGTCTCCCCCTGATGCTGCAGAATGGATGTCCAACTTGAACTAAGGTAATCAGTTTCCTAGAAATGAATCAAGGTTTACAAAAGAAAATTGCAGTGATATTGACTGCGCTTTAAATTGTTTTAAGTTGTAAACAAACATTTCAGTCACGTGACCAACTTTATTGGCAAATTAAAATTATAATAGTGTAAGCAATTCTTAATAGTCATTTCTGTAATTTTGCCGTATTCATGTGTTCTAAATTCAAATACAAGTACCCATTTTTGTGTAATTTGTGCTATTTTTTGTAGAATAAATTCAATTTGATAAGTAATTTTAAAAGTTAAATGCAAGCGGTGACTGTCAATCTAATAATCCCGCCCCTTCTTATTTTAATTCATGAAATGCAGAAGTCATGTTTAATTGACTACAATTTCATCCAATAAAACCTGTTATTAAGACTTTTATTTAGACTTTACTGACCAATCACGTTAGCGTTTCTGCCGATGAAACCAATCAGGGTTGGAGGTGGGCTCTAACTCAAGGAGCGCGAACGGTTAAGGATTGTTGTGAGAAAATGGCGATTTTGTTGTCGTAGTATGCGGAAAAATGTAGCGTGAACTTTTAAAGTACTCTTAGTAAGTATTTCGTTGCGGTTATTTCGCAGGTACTCCGTTAATATGCTTAATAATTAACAAGAAAATCTTGGCTTTAGCGCAACCTCTTCTGAGTCCTGGACGTCCTGGAAAGTTTGCTTGCAGGTAGTTTTTAACGCCGAAACGCGAAGCCGACCAAAAAATGGCTACGTTACAGTTTCCCCATCCAGTGGCAAATAAGTTGGGTCAAAAAGCGTGAGTAAGGAACATTGAAGTTGTCTTTTATTTGACCAAGATTAGCGCGTTTCAATGGCGTAGCTCTACGTTTTGAAAACACTGGGCTTCGTTGTTTTTGGTTATGGCTTTGCACAACTTAGTTTTTGTTATCGACGTCGATTATGAGGGTGACAAGTCAGACGATCGACTGGATGTCCAGAACCACTTCGTGAAACGGGCCGTATTGTACATCCTGCTGCATTTAGGCTACAAATATGGGTTTGAGAAAGTGCGCTGGGGTTATAAATTCTTCCGGTCCCAAACTGGTCGTAGTAATGGCCGCGTCATTTCACGAGTTTCTGATTTCAAGGAACTTCGACACAAAACATTTGAGGACTTTGAGCAAGAGTTCGAAGCGAGGATGGACGGGAAGGACAGCGTGTGCTGGTCTCAACACAAGCAACAGTCCAGTAAGTCGGAATCAGTGCAAAAGGCTCTTAAAGAGACTCTGCTGGACTTTCAGTGGGACAGACCAGACATCACATCTCCCACTAAACTGTCCCTGAGGCCCAGGAGGTCGAGTCGTGCTGGGAGCTCCGATCCGTTAAATGAAAGTGACATTTCAAACAGAGGGAGAAATTTAGTCTTCATTGTTTCTCAATGCCCGCTTTCAAAGACGCAGCTTATGGACTATCTGTCTTTAAACGATGATGACCTGCCAACAGATGTGACAGAATATATCTTATCAAAGAGTCTGAACGACATGCTGCTTCAGAAACAAGTTGTCCTGCACTGGATTGACTGTGGAGCAAATGTTCAGGTGAGTACAGCAAACACCTTGCAAAGGAGCTTTGTTTAAACACAACCTTTAACAATATGGAATCAACTCTGTCTTACTGTTAGCAAAATATCTCATGAACCTCTGGACAGATTTTTAAAGAAATTATAAGAACGCAATCATCAGATGTACATCTACAACTGATTAACTTATCGAGTCAAACCAGTTCAAATGGGCACCACTACCACAGTCAACTCACCTATAAAAAATTCTACATTTCAGATAATCTCACAGCTTTAGAGTAAAGTTTGCTGTGATGGTAGCCAATCATCCCCAAAACACACATTTTAGGAGGGTCTTTGTTTAAAACTTTAGAATTAACAGTTGGAAGCAACCCAGTTATAGACAACCTATAAACATTTTCGCTGGAGATGGAATATAAAAAAAAAATCCACTGGAATCTTCTTATGAAAGTATACTGTACATACAGTAATGCTTACGATTAGTTCTTTGAGGAAAAAAATAATTGTATGTACAACTGATTTAACTTTCGGAGTCACTCTAATTCAAGATGACGACCACAGCTAACTGACTTGATGTAACACAACAATTAGCCTAAATCTCAGACTGTTTTTCACATATTGAGCTCAGATTTATGTTAGACAGGAATGAGTGTGACATTTCACAACATTGTTTGAGATTGTGTGTAGTTATTTTCGAGACTTAACTAAAACACCTGTAACTGTCATTTCTTGTTATAAGTTGATTTTCATCTTGCTGCCCATTGGTCGGCCCACAAGACTTCATTATCTTAACACTGAGGCCTTGAGGGTCGTTTTTACCTAAGGGCAGTAGGAGGGTTAATTTAAAACTCCAGCATGAAATGTGGCAGATAATATGCATGTATTTAAAAAGTGCTAGACCTTTTAATTATAACATGATTCACAGTAAATGTTAACTAAAACTTCTAGTGTTTTGTAAATGTTATGACACTTCGGCTGCTGATGCTGTTTGTTGGTTGAAAAGACTGCATACGTTTATTAGTTTTAGACACACACACACACACACACACACAAAATAGATTTCAAATTTGATAATTGTCAATTTATTTAAATAATATGTTTTGGCAGTATGTTACGGTCCATGGTCTAAAACAGTGGTTCCCAAACTTTTTGTCTTCTGACCCACAAAATATTCATGGCAAAAACTTGTGACCCCAAATATTACTGGTCTGAGTACACGAACTTCATTGATAACCCTAAAAACACAGGCTTTTTGACAATCTAAACAGCTTATACACAAATTAATAGTTATAGAGAAAATATTACAT